TGGCCCACCCGGCCTCTGCCACGGGACAATTGTGCAACCTGCAACAATCTCCCCCTCAACAATTGCCCACCAGGAGAGGTTGCTCCTACTGACACTGCTGACTGTGAGTTGTATGTTGCGGGTCCTCCCGAGCATTTGGTGGCATACGGTACATATTATATCTTTGACATGTATTTGGTACACTGTTAAGCATTATATAGTCTAAAATATTTTATCATTTGTTTATCTTAGGGAAAATGTATGCATTGGGGTCAACCATGCACCACCAGAGTATTGGACATGATATGATAAGAGTGGTGGTTGTAGATGTTCGGGATGTTGTCGCCCCAATCCCTATTCCCACCGAAGAGGTTCAAACAAGTGGGACAGGCACTGGAAATTTTATCTGATGGTCGGTTTCATTAACAAGACTCATCCCAACACATGCACAGGTTGTGTCATGCATTTATCCCTTTTACTTATTATTTTTTGATATGTTAATGTATATTAATGTTATTTATTTTTTGTACTTGTATAGAAAGAGGCTGAAAAAGCAAAGGAAGTTGTGCATGAATCACCACCACCACCGAGTGCTTTACAGCGACTCGGTGCACTAGCAGCGACTATCGGGACCACTCCCATACAGTTAGATATGCCACCCGAAGTCGTATGCAAGACCAAGACGATCCATTTTTTCTTACTCCAGAGGGATATTTTTGATATTCTAGCTGATACTGATATGTTATGTGTATCAGTGTTGCAGCTTTGGGAATTGTAAGTAAATTTACATATTTTTTATATTCTCACTAGTACATTATTTTATAACTTTATTTATTTTCAATGTTGAAGGTATTTACATCGTTTGTGTGTTGAGAGGAAGATTGCCTTTATCTATGGATTTGTTGACCCTGTTGTCATTCAGTCCGTTGGGAATAAAGCTGAAGAGGTGCAAACGTACTAATAGAGACATTTCAAAATGGGGGCAAAGAAGTCTACTTAGCATCTTACTTGCATCAGTAAGTATACATCTTATAAATTAATGCACATTTATGTAAAACTAAAATTTTACTAATATTATTTCAACGTGTAGGGGTCATTGGCAGCTCATAATCATTGTTCCTCGGCAATTTGTTGTGATTCTCTTGTGTTCATTACACAAGAAACCAAATGATTTGGATATTAGAAAGCACATAGACGCGTAAGTTTGGTTTTTTTAATTGTTGTATCATATGTGCACTTACACCAAAATTATTTGTCCTTTTGTAGAGCTTTGGAAGCTCACCTATAGTTGCAAGGCCTTCCATCTCATGCTAGAAAGAAGTTGACGTATATTGCACCAAAGGTGACCAAACATTCCTCTTACTGTTGTTCAATTTGTCATTTAAAGTTAATCTAACATGTATTTAACTTGTAGTGTCCACGCCAACCGGGAAGCCATGAGTGCGGGTATTATGTGATGAAGCACATGCACACCATCGTAGCCAAAAATATTATTGACTCATGGAGGGAGGTAAATATACTATAATTAAGTCAAATAAGCCAATTATGTAAATGGTTTCTAAATCTGAAATGTTTCAATATGTAGGAATTTACATACTCATCTCCATTGAAGATTGAAGTGTTAGACGATATTAGAGAGCAGTGGGCTTCTTTCCTTTTAAGTATTCAATCTTCATAGCAAATTTGACTTGTAACAATTTTGATTGAATTGATTTAAGTTAGCAAATTTACATTCATTTAAGTAAATAAACTGTCTGGAACTGAGGTACATATATTGATTTCAATATGTTTCATATATGTACATATCTGTCTGAAACTATATATGAACTGTGCATATCTGTCTGTACAAGTGTTTGGAACTGTGAATATTTGTCTGGAACTATGATGAATAGGCAGGTCTACTCGAAGAAAGGTAGGATCTGTGAAGAAAATGCAGGTTCTGTAAAAAAAACAACACTTTCTACGTCGGTTATGTCATTAACCGACGTAGAAAGTTTAACATTTTATGTCGGTTATAAGCATAACCGACATTGATATCACATACAATCACGGTTACTGTTAACCGATATAGATACTGGGGTTATAGAAAGTTAGAAAGTAAGACTTTCTATGTTGGTTATCAGTGTTAACCGACATAGAAAGTAAGACTTTCTACGTCGGTTCCCTGACTAACCGACGTAGAAAGTCTTACTTTCTACGTCGGTTCTTAAGAACCGACTTAGAAAGGCTTACTTTCTATGACCCCTGTATCTATGTCGCCGCTTTAACCGACGTAGAAGACCCATTTTAACCGACGTAAAAAGTCTTTTCTGTAGTAGTGAATCATTTAAACCTAGAAATTGACTTGTGATATAAATTAAGAATTTCAACTAAATAATCTCAATTACTTTGATTATAATGGATTATAAATTATTAGAATCATGATTAATGAAATTTAAATCATAGAAAATAAGTTTTAATAAATGAATTAACCTTAAAAACTTAGAAATCTATAAAAGAATGTGAAAATGCATAAATAAGAATAGAAGAATGCAATGTAAAAAAAAAAACAATAAAAAGAAAGTAAAGTGCATAGATTAAATGGAAGATATATGGAAAAAGAAATAAATATGATCTAACGCATGTTGAATTGGTAAACTTGAAGGAAGGATTCATTTAAGTGCACTAACATTCAAAAATGAAAATATACTCTGACTCAATTCAAGATTTAGAAAATATAAAAATGAAAGATAACTTATGTGTCTTGACTTTCCTAAGTCTTGTAAATAAATCATAAAATGCCTATGTAAAATCTAGAATAAATCAATTACATCATTTAAAACTTGGTTGTTTGACATTTATGTAAAAGTGATTTTACCATATTTTTGTTCAACAAAATCTTTCTTCGTTGAGTAGATGTTTTTGAATTTCCCATAATTCAACATTTTTGCATAATGGATTATTTCGATGAATAGATTGACGACACCAGAATGATGTTTTTTATGGTAATTCAGTGAACAAAATTGTGTTGTACTTATCGAAATTCAATAATTAATTTTTTTTCTTCTTTAATTTATCATTCTTAGATTAATGTAAAAATAATAAATTAAAATATATAATTAAATTAATACTAAAATTATATTTAAAAATATATAATTATAATAATAAAAATATTAATAAAATATAATGATGATTTAAGATGAAAGAAGCCCAAAATAACTGAGGCACGAGATCTAAAGAAGTTATCTGGTGATGAGCTTCTTTGCATTCGGAGGGTTCATGAAGTACACCTATAGAAAAGAGATTAATTGAAAGAGGCCACGTGTAGCAAACCTATTACCCTCAAAGTTGAAGACTCCAGAAAGGTCAAAGATGGAAGATAAGAATGGAAAAATGAGAGCCCTAAAGTACGCAGAGTTTGAAGAATAATATGAAATAGATTCTGATGCCTCCGAAAACGACGAGTAGCACTGATGTCAAAAATAGTTCAAAAAATGTTCAGAACAAATTAAGAAGGTAATCAATCAGAAGAAGAAAGGACTTTAGAATGGAAATGAAGAAACATATTTCAAAGTGGTCAATCTGAATAAAAGTGGAAAGAATCCAGAAGGTTCTAGAAACTTGTAACGAAACGAGTCTAGAAAAGTTGTTTTTGTTATTGTATCTTTTTTCATTTTTATCCAAAACTATTTTACAAACCTTCTGAAGTAGGGGTTTAAGAACATTTTAAAAATGAAAATTTAGAACTGTATTCCAAAATGGCTAATTCGGATAAGGGTAAAACATGAGTTAAGACCAATACATAATAAAAATAACGGGATTCAAACTACTAAAAATTCTCATGAAAATATTTTTATAATTTTTTTATAAAAATAATAAAAATAAATTTTTACAAATTTAAATAATTTAAAAAAATATAGAAAATAATTAATATTTTAATAGTGTCACATCTCACCATGTAAGAATCATTATCTTAGGAAAATAATATGTAAGTCATTATAACTTCTTTGAACACAATGACTTAAGTGTCCAATTCTCTATAAACACACTGCCACTCATACATTATTTCATTCGAAAGGAATTATATGTTATATCATCTTAAGTGTATCCAAGAGATCTTTAATTTGGTTCATGATTTTGAATCATAATTTTTATCTAATTTTGTTTATAATTTATTTTTATATATTAGGTGAACGAGTTAATATGTTTTAATTTAAATAAAATATATATATATATATATATATTAATATATTTATATCAAAATTTAATTAAAAAATATTTAAAGAAAATAAAAATAAAATTTTAAATTATATTAATAAAATTAATTTTTATTCTAAATATAATAATTTAATATTTAAATTATGAAATAAAATATCTATTTAATATTAAAATAATAATTAAAACTTATTTTTCGTTATCACCGTTCATTCTCTTAATGATTTATTAATTTAAAATATTAATTTATCTTAATTACTAAAATATAAATAAGTAGATATTAAAGAATTTTTTATATTTATTTTTAAATAAAAGAATTAATTATTAAATTTATATATATTTTTAATAAAATAATATTATTTTTATTTAAAAAATAATTATTATTTTAATTAATTCATTAATTTATGTATTATTTTGACCTAAACTCATGTAAAACCTAAATTAAAAATATCGTATTAAAAAATCATGTAAATCTTAAAAGGATAGTGTCAAAATAGAAATAATTTAATTCAAGTTATGAAACTTTTTTAACCGTATTTACTTTTTAATAATAATGACACTAGCTTATTTTAAATCTAATTTTTATTTTAGAAAACTAATATTTTTCTACTTTTATTTCATTTTTAAATATGAAAATGCTACTTTTCATTCTCACGGATAACGAACAACAGCTCAATCAATTCCTGATCCAGCCACTCGTGTCTTCACTGTCTTCTCACAACATGCCCTTACATGTAAACACACTCTCTTTCTAAAACACAATCACAATATTAAGATATTTCCAATGAAGTGGAACTTGAACAAGAGACACACAGACCCTCCACGAAATGCTGTCTAATATTCCATTGGATATCTCGGTATCCTCAACTCTTGCCAAATTCTCACCTTTCAATATTAGTTTTATGAAACCAAACTCTTTCCCTTCCAAGGTTTCACCTTCCTCCCATGAATTCTCTCTCATTTCTCTCTCGAACTCAGGTACTGCATAGTTACCTGTTGTGCAGTGCAGTGCAGGCTTTAGAGTTAAGCTTGATTGCATTACTGGGTTGTGCTTTATTTTGAGTTCAATGTTCAACAGTGTGGTTATTGGATTTTCTGTTTAGAACATCTATGTATAAGCCTTTAATTGTTTAGACAAAGAAGAAGTGGATTAAAGGTAGGCCTTATGAAATTATTATTATTTATGATAGTTACTATCTAAACAGAAGAATGGCTGCTATTACTACTTTTTTTAGCCTTGGATAACAGAGAAATTATTATATGGTCAAGAACTACCTAGTATCTCACTAATTTTCACAACACATTTAGTTGGTTTTATTTTCAAATTACGACAAAGAGTTGATTAAAATTGATAATGTGTCATATGGCGATTGACATGTAACATGTAATAATCTCTCGAGAGAATGGTTGTCATTTTGAAACAAATGGGAAATTATCTCCTTTCACTTTGTCTTATTCAAACCCTTTTTCAGTTAACCATTGTCAACAATGTGTAGCATCATATATAAGTATAGTTACATTCAATCATGTTTCACTTCATAGGTTTTCATTTCACCAGATGCAAAACATTCTGGAGATGCATGCTTTCATTTAATTAAACTCGGATGAAAACTTCTCTAGGAGATAAAAATCTGGTGTTTGAATTCAGGAATTTGCAGGGCTAGTGAAGTTGTTGACTTGTTCCCAGCAGTGTCCTCCGAAATTATTGTCCGCGAAGCAAGGTTAGAGGACTATTGGGGAGTAGCAGAGACTCACTGCAAGTGCTTCTTCCCTGAATATTCCTTCCCATTAGATTTTGTGCTGAGAATGGACAGATTGGTTGTGGCTATGTTAGCAGCTATGTTAGCCGGATTGTTTAGGCCAAGAGACTGCAGAAGAATCTGTTTGGTAGCTGTTATTGGCAGCTCACGTGATGAGTCCTTTTCATTTAGAAATGAGGGTCACAAGATTGGTGGTTTTGATGGGAAATTTAGTCTCAACAAGGGCTATGTGGCTGGTATATTAACAGTAGACAATAATGCAGACTTTCTACCAAGAAAGGGGCCACGACGACATAGAAGGTAAGTGCAACACTTACTTCTGTGACTTGCAGAAGTAAGGGGTATCACAATTTTGAGCGTAAAAGCAACATTTCCATGTGGCCAAACATCACTTGCAGCAGTACATACTATATATAGTCTTGAAACCATTTAGAACCATGGTCTTTTACATATATAAATCTCCTGATAAATAATGTCCCAAAATATCATTCATGTTTAATTCCTTGAATAGATATAAAACATGTGATAGATTGATAATATCATTCATGTGATATGTATGATATGACCTAAAGACGTATACTAATATATAGAAAATACTGGAATTGTATTATCTGCAAAATATTTTTCTGCATCAAGTAGAAGAAAATGTTTTCTGAAAGTAATACTTAAACCAACACCAGAAAGTGTAGAAATGTTTTCAAGAAAGTTACATCCCTAGCTATATTTAGCTTATTCGTCATTGGAGTCTCAATTTATAACAGATACATATAGATAGATAGACCCTGTATGCATTTGCCCAGTTCTTTGTCTTAAAAGTTATAACTGGATGGATGATATCCCTCTACAGCACCCAAGTTATAAACCCTTTGAACCATCAATTACCCTTCAAAAGAAGATATGGACTTGCCATATGAATCCTTATTGATGATATAATCAATTGCTTTTGTTGTAGGACTGGAATTGCATACATATCAAATGTGGCAGTAAGGGAAAATTTTCGGAGGAAGGGAATAGCTAAAAAACTGATAGAAAAGGCAGAGTCTCATGCCAGAAGTTGGGGCTGTCGTGCTATTGCGTTGCATTGTGACTTGAACAATCCTGTGGCCACAACGTTATACAAAGGTCAAGGGTACAAATGTGTCATGGTTCCAGAAGGAGCAAAGTGGCCTCAGCCAAGGACCTCACCAGATATCAGATTCAACTTCATGATGAAACTTCTCAAAAATTCACTAGCTTCCTAGACATTTTGTAGGAAATAGTGTTCATTCTATACCATTATCTATTACAGAAAAAGAAAACGAAAAAAGGAAGTGTTCATTCTATATATTATTGGACTGTGTATATATACAAACCAAAGAAATACATTCAAAATAATTGTAACATTTTCAACCGTTAAAAAGAAGTTCATTCTTTTTAACATTTACACACACCCCTTAAGTTTTAGAGCTACTACAGTTAACCTCCTAACAAGGAAAATCATTGTAATTGTAAAATAATTTGGAGATATAACTGTAATTTGAGAAAATGTAGAAACAAAACTAATGTTGTAATTTATTCTATTTTCTATTGTAGATCACATTATGATTAATTGAGTTGGAACCCAATATCCATTTGGAGATCCAACTCATCTGAATCAATGAACAAAATTCCAAATAGTTAAGATGGATAATCTTATGCAAATGGGCCTTGGTCATGGAGCCAATGATGTTAGATGACACTTTTATAAGGTGGTAATTACACCTCTTGGAGGTCTGCTTTCATTTTAGGTTATACTCAACTCTTACACACTTTGACTTGAGTTTTCAGTTATATATATATATATATATATATATATATGAAGAGTCTTATTATATTTTTTTTGTAATGATGCTTTACATTAAAAATCATATGCAATTATTAATAATACTCAACACATGTGCTTCTAATTGTACCCTATAACACCTCTACTCTCATGTATTTGAATTAATTAATTTATTTATTCTATATTCTATTTTGGAAAATCAAATGAGAATCTCAAAATTTCAAGTTTTATTATGTTTATATATATTAATGAATATTATTCAATTTAAATTTTATTATTTTATTCATATCAGAAGAAAAAGTAATGAGATAGCTCATACAAATATACATTCTGAAAAAATCTACACAGCAGTCTAAAATAGTAAAAATACCTAGAGATGTTTAAGGTCATTCTCATGCCAAAAAGAGACTTATTAGAAATCAGTACTATAAATTAGAATAATTCAACTATGATAGGATTGAATGATAATATAATTATTTTTATTTCGTTATTTATGCACAGTTATGTATAGCATTTATAGGGAAAATATTTCCTTGACTTTCAGTGATAGATTTAGTGTATAGGTTTATTACATTGTATTTTATTTATACCTCCTTTGTATCTTTTTCAAAATAAGAAATACACAAAGTATTTTCCGCATGGTATCAGAGCTTGATATGGACCATCCCTAACCTAGTGCAACCAACCATGGAAGAGAACAAGGCAGGAGGTTTGGCCACCACACTACTACAAAATATATTTTCTGCGTCGTCATTTAACGTCGGTTATAGCTGAGACGACGTAGAAAGTACTTTCCACGTCGGTTCCCAGATGAACGTCATTTAACGTCGGTTATAGCTGAGACGACGTAGAAAGTACTTTCCACGTCGGTTTCTAGATGAACTGACGTTGAAAGTTGAATATTAAACACATTCTACGTCGGTTTCCATATGAACCGACGTTGAAAGTCTTTTTATTTTTATTTTTTTCACTTATTGACACTTTCCACGTCGGTTCATATGGGAACCGACGTGGAAAGTCTTTTTTTTTATTTTTTTTCACCCAAAAATTCACTTAAATTTGAAAATTGTCACTAGCAAGATTCGAACTCGGGATTTTAGAATTGAAAACTAATACTCTAACCACTAAACTATTATAATTTTTTGATAATAACTTACAAATAAATTATATTTATATACACATAAATATATATCCATGTAAATAAATATTTATTTGTATATATTTTCTGGAAAGTATTTTTATTTTTTTTTTAGCCAAAAATTCTCTTAAGTTAATGAATTGTCACCGACAAGCATTTGAACCCAGTATTTTAGGGTTGAAAGTTAATATCCCAACCACTAAACTACTATAATTTTTTGATAATAACTTACAAATAAATTATATTGGTATTTTTCGATCGAGGGTGAAAGTGTGATTGACTCTCGCTTGAGTGAAAATATGTTAAAGCTCACGGAAATTCACTCACTCAAGTCTCGCTTGAGCGAAAATTGGTATTTTTCGCTTGAGAGCGAATAACACGTTTCCCAAATTTATTTTATATCATTATATAAATAAAATTATAAAGATTATATTTTGTCATTAAATTACAAACTCATATAAAGATACTTGCTCACAAATTTAGCATCAAATTTTGAAAACTCACTCGACACACACTTTCACTTTCGAGTGTGCCCTCACATCCAACATATAAATATATAATTATATAAATATATCAAAATATATAAATATATTTGTATTTATATATTTATATATTTACACTGATATATATTTATTTGTATATAAATATAATTTATTTGTAAGTTATTATCGAGAAAATTTTAGTAGTTTAGTGGTTGGAGTATCGACCTCCAAATAAAGGGGTTGTAAATAAATAATAATTATTAATTTAAAAAATCATACTTTCAATTAAAATCTTCCTTCAAGAAAAAGGGAAGGAAGGTTACATCATCAGAGACTCCAATTGTCCAATAAAGGGTGACCCTAACATCAACTAATGGCAACTAAAAAATAGTTTAGTCTCAACACCATGACCAATTAAGTTGAGGAGAATTTCATGTATTATGACATTGCCAAGGAGATGTGGAATACAGTGAAGGAAACCTACACAAATGTGGACAATAAGTTTGTGGTATTTTAGATCATGAGCATACTCCATGAACTGCGATAAGGTGATTTCTCAGTCATTGAGTTTTTTAATACACTCAGCTGACATTGGCAGTAAATAGACATACATGAAGACGTTCAATGGAGTTGTATCGAGGATAAGAAGAAGTATAAAAATTGATGAAGAAAGATAGAATCTACAAGTTCCTATTGGGGCTAAACACAGAACTTGAGGGAGAATCCTTGGAACCAAACCTCTTAAAATAATCCGAAAAGTATTTTTGGAAGTGAGAAGGGAGGAAAGCAAGAGGAAAGTAATGTTTGGAAAGTCAAGTCCAGCCCCACCTATCTCATCCATCTAGAAAGAAAAATCGCTGGTGTGATCACTGCATGAAATTGAGACACACTAAGATACCTGCTGGATTATTCATGGTAAGCCTTCAAAGGAAAAACAGACAAGAAACCTGGACAACAAAGGAAACACAACAAAGGTAAATTCTAATCCGGAGCAAATGGAAGCACTACAGAAAATTCTGCAGCAAATAATTGGTACAACTGCAGTTGCACAAAAAGGTAATTTCTTGCATGCTCTAAATACTAGCACTGAAAAATCAAATTCATGGATCATTGATTCGGAGCCTCAGATCACATGACTAGAGACTTAATTGTGTTTAAAATTTATACTCTTTGCCACAATAATTACACAATTTGGATAGTTGATGAGACTCTTTCTAAAGTCATGGGTAAAGGTTCAGTTATTATCTCACAAAATATTAACCTGAAGTTAGTCCTTTATGTGCTTAAACTTGACTATAATTTACTATCCACTAGCAAACTGAAAAAAATATTTGAACTGTGTCACTAAATTTTTTCCTAACCTATGTGAATTTTAGATTTTGGAGATGGGGGAGACGATTAGAATTGCTAAAGAATTTGTTGGACTCTACTGCCTCCAAACTAAAGCGTCAGAGGCGGAACCCAAGGCTAACTCTTGTGCTATGGTACCTACACTACAAGAAATATTAAAATTACCGACGGTCAAAATCCGTCGTAATAATAAAAATCCGTCGGTAAATGAATATTACCGATCTGAATTCGACGGCCAAAAATCCGTTGGAAATTAGCTTGTCGGTAAATATTACCGACGGATTTATCCGTTCAGTAAATATGTTACGTAAATTACCGACGGATTTATCCGTCTGTAATAATTTTATTAATTATTAAATATTTTACTTATTTATAACATTATTTTTTTTATAGAACCCCTCCCCTTATATTCTTATTATTTATTATTAATTATTTCTCCATATTATATTTTTATAACTTTGAATTATTGTCGATTAAGAGAAATGTCATTGGCAGGATTCGAACCCAGGATCTTAGAAGTCGAGGATCGATACTCCAACCACTAAGCTACCAGTAATTTCTTGATAACAATTTACAAATAAATTATATTTATATACAAATATACAAATACATTTATATATATTTATATATATTTATATACATTTATATATATTTATATATATTTATATATTTTTTTTTATATATTTATATATATTTATATATATTTATATATATTTATATACATTTATATATATTTATATATATTTATATATATTTATATATATTTTTTTATATATTTATATATATTTATATATATTTATATATATTTATATATATTTATATACATTTATATATATATTTATATATATTTATATATATTTATATATATATTTATATATATTTATATATATATTTATATATATTTATATATATTTATATATATTTATATATATTTATATATATTTATATATATTTATATATATTTATATATATTTGTATACATTTATATATATTTATATATATATATATATATATATATATATTTATATATTTTTATATTTTATATTTATATATTTTTATATTTTTATATATTTTTATATTTTTATATATTTATATATATATATATATATTTATATATATTTATATATAATTAAATATTTATTTTTAAAATTACTTAATTTAATAAATTATTATAAATTAATCTAATTATGATTAAATTAAATTATTAAATAAAAAATATTTTATTTTTTAATTAGTGAATAATTAAATTATATTATATAATTTTACCGACGGATTTATCCGGTTGTAAATAATTTTTAATTTACATATGAATTTACCGACGGATATATCCGTCGATAATTACTTGTTAATTTATCGATGGATTTACCGACGGATATATCCGTCTGGTAAATTCATCTATAAATTACCGACGGATTTATCGACGGATATATCCGTCGGTAACTAATAATTATTTTACCGACGGATATATCCGTCGGTAACATCAAATTTCACAAATATTTTATATCCGTCGGTAATTTCCGTCGGTAATGATTATTTTCCGACGGCTACAATTCCGTCGGTAAATATCCGTCGGTAATACGCGATTTTCTTGTAGTGCTAAAAATAAAAATTTTGTAATGTTGTGGCACTATCGGCTTGGCCACCCAAATGTTATGTACTAAGGAAAAATGTTTCCCACATTATTCAATAAAAATTAGGAGTTGTTTCAATGTGACATATGTCAATTGTCCAAACATACTCGCAGCTCATACCCGCCTCAACCCTATAAACCCTAATTCACAATGATATATGGGGACCATAACGGGTAATAATGTCATGAGATCAAGATGTTGTCACCTTCATAAACGATCACACATGGGTCACTTGGGTGTTCCTAATGAATGAGAAATTAGAAGTTGGCAGAATATTTGAATATTTTCATACTATAGTGGAAGCACAATTTTAAAGTAGGATTAAGGTACTTAGGAGTGATAATGACCAAGAGTATTACCACTCTACACTAAGTTCCTACCTTCAGAGACATGGAATCATACATTAAATTTCATGTGTAGATATCCCTCAGCAAAATGGGATCGTCGAGAGTAAGAATAGACATCTCTTAGAAGTGATCAGATCTCTCATGTTGGTTACAAAGATACCCAACAAATTTTTGGGAAAAACTTTCCTCTCTACAACCTACCTCAAACAGAATGTCTTCTCGAATCCTCAACTTTAACACATCTCACTCTACTTTCCAAACCTCATACCCTACTAGTTGTATCCTTACATCCATTCCCTTGAAAATATTTGGATGTTCATCCTTTATCCATAACCTCCATCTTCGTCGCAACAAACTTTACCCAAAATCCATAAAATGTATTTTCCTCGGCTATTCTCCCCAACAAAAGGGGTATAAATGTTATTCACCTCAAACCATGAAATTTTACCATACCATGGATGTCACCTTTTTTGAGAATCAACCTTATTACCCTAAAGTTGGCATTCAAGGGGAGCAGATTTATCCAACTGAAGTGACAAAATTTCAACTTTCAGAATCCCAACTTTTGGGATTTGAGCTAGCTCGCTCTGCCCCAAATGCAGAACCAATCAAGACTGCACCTACAACAGAGGAAACTACAGTAGCAAATGCAGAGCTAGCCGAGAATGCAACTAAAAGAAAGGAAGTAGAGTCTAGCACAGCTCTAAGGCAAAGTCATGAATCAAACCAAGCTCCAGAAAATGAGTTTTCCATAAGTAATATAATTTCTAATCCTGAATTTATTGATGATATTGACATTCCTATTGCATTAGGAAAAGGGGTGAGATCTTGCACTCAACACCCATTGGGAATTATGTGTCCTATGAAAAATTGTCATAGGGATATAGGTCATTTGTGGCAGCTCTTGACAGCATACATATCCAAGAAATGCTCAAGAGACACTCCAATAACCTGAATAGGTAGCGACTATAACAGAAGAAGTTCAAGCCTTGGTTAAAAATAGCACATAGGAAATCACCACCCTATCAAAAGAGAAGAAATCAGTTGGATTCAAGTGGATATTCTCCATCAAATACAATGCAGATGGTAGTATAAATCATTACAAAGCCCGACTAGTGGCAAAAGGGTTTACCCAATCACATGGAGTGGACTACGAAGAGACATTTGCACCGGTGGACAAACTTAATTCAATCTAAGTTATACTCTCTTTAGCTGCAAATTTAGATTGACCACTTTATCAACTAGACATCAAGAATGCCTTCCTAAATGGTGAACTAGAAGAAGAAGAAACCTATATGAAAATTCCTCCAGGACTTGAATCATCAAAAACCTCAAACATGGTGTGTAGACTCCGAAAATCTTTATATGGCCATAAACAATCTTCGAGAGCATGGTTTGATAGATTGACTCGAGTTGTCAAAGAAGATGGATTCAATGAATGTCAATCAGATCACACGATGTGATGAGTCCCTAGTTGCCCCGGAGACGGAAGATGACATCCCTAGGAGGATCACTAGAAGTATGACTAAGAGGGAGACTTCCTCTTCACCCTTCATTTTTAATTTACTAAGTATTTTCTTTTCATATGTTTTTTCACTTATTTTCGCTTTCCTTTTGTAGGCTCACTTTTTGCATCTCATTTTTGAAGAATAACACCTCTTTTTGGTGGAAACGAAGCCTTAGATCCATAGGATACATGCATGGGCAGCCCAAAGGTGTAGGACACTCCTTTTTCATGTCCTACACCCTTTTTTGGAGAGGAAGAAGCATGAGATGCGGGATTGGTAGGCTTGGGACAACCCAAAAGGAAGCACACCTCTTGTTTTTTATGTTTTCCACACTCTTAGAGACATTTTTGATGGGCTAGAAAGAATTTAACATATTTGGACCATGGAGACTCTAACCTTTAGGTTTAGGTTAAGTTTATGTCTCCTTTTGTAATTCCATCTAGGTTCCTCCCCTAAAAGCCTATAAATAGAAGGTTTCCCCTCATGTAATTAGGTTGAACATTTATGACAAGTTTGCAAGGTTTCTTAGAGTATTTCATCTCTTTGAGTGTCTTATCTTAAACCTTGGTTCAAGTGGCGACAACCACTACTTATCTAGGGTGGCTCATCCCCTAGTGGCGTTCCAACAATCCACCACCACCATACTTTTCTTCTCTTCCTCTTTTCTTCTTTATTTCTTCACTTCATTGATTTATCCAAGGGGCTGGTCCATTTTTCTAGCCCTTGTCTTTATTCTTTTATAGTTTCATTCCATCTATTCCTCCCTCCATAATCTTTGGAAATGAACCTTCACATCTAAATTGGAAACTATCTTAATGTCCAGTGGAAATTTTCCTTGGGTTTGCTTACTTTATTGCTTAAAATTTTGTAACTTATCTTCTTAAAATTCTGCACCTCACTTTATTTTACATCATTTGGTATTCAGAGCTTAGGTTGTTTCTAGTAAGGTATTATTATTGTTGCTTCGATTTTATTCCTTGTGTAGCTTACGTTTTGTGCTATAACTTGTGTTTTTGTGGCCATCTTTTGGTTTGCGGTGTTGCACTAAAAATTTTGGGCCTAAGGTTAGTCCAATACTGCACTCACTTCAGTTTCTTTTTATGGCATGTATGATGTTTGATAAAATGCCTAGCCAAAAAAAAAAAATCTGCACTTGATTAAGTTACATATTTTTCTAAGTTTAGTAGTGTCTTTCTAAATGTGCCTAGCCTTTGTTTTTGATTTATATGTCTAGTATCTCTTGTTAAAGTTTTCTTTTATTGGCTTCTAATACTTGAAATTGCATGATGAATTAATTAGTTAAGTCCATGCATGATGAATTGATCTAGGATCCTAAACAAAGTGATCAAATTTGTTCTAACAACTTTAAACAACTTTTGGCAAGTCTAGAATCAAGTTAGAACAAAAAAATATTTTTACACAAAAGTACCTTGGTCAAAACCTTATTGCTTCAAAAAAAAGGAAAAAAAAATTCTGCACTTCTAAAATTTGATTCTAGAAATTGTCATAATACTTGGTTGCATGATTAAAATTTGGCAAATTAGTTCTAACATTGTAGGAACCTTAGTCTTCTTTATGTGTGTGCTTGGTTGAAAATTTTGATTGCATGTTTTAAGTGTTTCTCAAATTTCTTTCTAGCTTTTGTTGTTTTAGTTTTGTTCAAAATTTTGTCTAAATTTCCCTCTTAGTAAACCTTGATTTTGTGCTTTTATTACTTGTCTTAAGTTTCTTTAAGTTTTGTCTTTGAAAGTTGTCTAGTTTTTGGAACTCT